AATTGTTTCAGGCTGAAGGAAAAAAAGTATTAATCTCCCCTCAGTAAGTCATAAAATAAAGAAATCAATTTCAAGGTCAATTTAGTCTAAATAACACCTGCTGCCCTTTTTGTAACATGCAGACTCCTCTGAAACACTAAGTTACTGTCTATAAAGGCATCAATATGTGATGTTTCACATAAATCAATGTAACACATACACAGGATAGACTATTTTAACCGTACATCTGAGGCTTAAGAGAGATTCAGAACAGATCACTTGTCATCACAGAACTTGAACACGAGCACGAAGCTCCTCTGTGAATAAGAGCCTGAATTTGCAAGAAGCTCTTTAAGATTGCTGACACTTAGTGATTGACATGCAAGAAGGGTTCAGATCCACAAAGGATGGGCCTCAACATGCTTACTTTTTTGAAGAATAAAAAAAAAGAAGAATCAACAAAAATGGTTTCTACTGGAAAACTTAAGATTACTTCCAAAACTAACAACTCCAGAAAGGAACACATTTGACAGTTTCTCTCCTTCTTGCAAAAAGGGAAACCTATTAATTGAAGAAAAAGAGTTGGTCTTCTTCAGAAAGAGCTCAATTTCTCTTCTAACTACTCTTAATAGGTTGCCATGGTAGCATAAGACTGCATTTGATGACTCCACAGATTCTGCATGTTCACAAAACCTATCCAGAAAGATTTCCCTTGAACTCTTCAACACTGCGCATATTAACAGAAAAGTTAAAATGAAAAAAAAGAAATTTATGAACTAGTTAATATATTTCTCCCAGATTGGTAATTCTTTCACACAATCTTAAGACAACGAATTCTCCTACTCCACTAACAATTCAAAGCAGAGTTGATACTTGTTTAAATAAAATCACCTGGATGGAATAATTCCAAGGTGCCAGGGAATCAACAACAGCTACCAGGAACAGAAAAAGATGATGTCATCTTAGGAGCTGCCAACATATTGACAGAAACCATTTACTGCACAGGAAAAAACCAGATGAGGTTTAACAAAAGCAAGTGTAGAGTCTTGCATCTGGGGAGGAATAACTGCATGCACCGGTACAGGTTGGGGGATGACCTGCTGGAGGGGAGCCCTGAGGAAAGGGACCTGGGTGTCCTGGTGGACGACAGGTTGGCCATGAGCCAGCAGTGTGCCCTTGTGGCCAAAAAGGCCAATGGCATCCTGGGGTGCATTAAAAAGAGTGTGTCCAGCAGGTCGAAGGAGGTGATCCTCCCCCTCTACTCTGCCCTGGTGAGGCCTCATCTGGAGCTCTGCGTCCAGTTCTGGGCTCCCCAGTACAAAAAAGACAGGGATCTCTTGGAAAGAGTCCAGCGGAGGGCCACAAAGATGGTGAGGGGCCTGGAGCATCTCTGCTATGAGGAAAGGCTGAGTGAACTGGGTCTGTTCAGCCTTGAGAAAAGAAGACTGAGAGGGGACCTGATCCAGGTCTATAAATATCTAAGGTGTGGGGGGCAGAATGGTGAGGCCAGACTGTTTTCAGTGGTGAGTGGAGACAGGACAAGGGGAAACGGCCGGAAACTGCAGCATAGGAAGTTCCACACCAATGTGTGCAAGAACTTCTTTACAGTGAGGTGATGGAGCACTGGAACAGGCTGCCCAGGGAGGTGGTGGAGTCTCCTTCTCTGGAGATGTTCAAGACCTGCCTGGATGCCTACCTGTGCGACCTGCTGTAGGGAACCTGCTTTGGCAGGGGGGTTGGACTCGATGATCTCTGGAGGTCCCTTCCAACCCCTACAATTCTCTGATTCTGTCAAAGGCATTACCATGTATATCCAATAAAATTATCAGTATTTATTTTGAGATGGACTGGTCCTAACAGCAAGAGAATCCAGCAGAAAAATAAACACAAGGGAGGGAAGACCATTCAAGAGAATCCAGCAGATTAGCCATGGACAGAGACAAAGGGATGCAATAGAAACCAATATAGGACAAAATAGAAATAGTGTATTCCTGGAGCCCAAAGGAACCCAACACAACGCGAGCATCACAGACGCACATTGGAATGCTTTTCTCAACAGGAAATCCCCTTTTCAAGAAGTTCCAAAACACTGAACAATGGAGAACTGGAAGGAATATGGAGAGACTTTTTGAAGATGAAGAACAGAAGCAACACAAGAAGAAACCTGGAACACCAGTAACTAGGCTTATTCTACAGGATTTTTATTCATTTCCAACACATTAAATGTAGATTCACAAACCGGTCTGAAAAGAAGCTTTTAGCTCATCTAGCTACAGCCACTCAACAAAGCCATGGAGCGTGACATCACCAGGCAATGGACTGTGACCTCACAGGCCTCCGCTGCTCATAGTGGGCCGCAGCAGAGCCTGGCCCAGTCGAGCTCGTTCCTGGTGTCTGGCTGAGCGTGTTGGCGAGGTCTGGAGACCCAGCGAGACTTTCTTGGCTTGTGCTGTGGGGCTCTGGGAGCTGTTCTCAGTGCCCATCCCCACAACATCACCCGTATTCCCCCGGCCCTGCCTGCATCAGGCAGCCGGGTCCCGAGAAGCGCTCGAGGCAGCGGAGGTGAGAGGTGGGGTGGACGCACACGTGGGGGGGCCGTGGGGCTCAGGAGCTGCTAGGGCCGCATCCACGGCCCGACCCGGGGCCAGCAGGGAATGGGATGGGGAGGGCTTCCTGCCGAGGGTCCGGGGCACAACCGCCGCCTGCCCCGGGACGCACACCGACCGCGGCCTCTTCTTCTTGCAGCGTTCAGGAACCACTGCAGGAGCGCCGCAAGGGGAGCGGATTGCCACCTGCAGCTCCCCGGCCCAGAACGCGGCCATGGAGGAGGAGTTCTGCGCCATCTGCCGCGACGCTACACCTGACGCCTGCGTGGTGCCCTGCGAGCACCGCTTCTGCCTCCGCTGCATCCTGCAGTGGACCTTGAGGAAGTTCACCTGCCCGCTCTGCAGGAGCCTCATGTGCACCATCCGCTTTGCGGTGCGGGCAGACGGCTCTCTGCCCTGCGTCATCACGCTGCCATCCGAGTACGAGGCGGAGAGCCACGACACGGCCGCCCTGTGGGACGTCGCCACCCCGCGCCCCGCTCCGTCGGGCAGCCCCGCGGGGCACGCGCGGCAGGAGCTCCCCGACGCGTCCCACGCGGCTCCCGGCGATGCGGCCGCCCGGCCCGCCGGCACGCCCGGCTCCGGGGACGCGGAGGAGCCCCGGCAGGAGGCGGCGGCGGGACCTTCCGCCCAGGACAGCGGCGGCGACCCCGGCCCCGGCACCGCCGAGCGGGGCAGGGACCGCTCAGCCCGGGGGTCCCGCCGCCCCAGCAAGAGGAGGGCCCGCAGCGCCCGCAGCACTTCGCAGCCCAGCAAGAGGCCGCCCCCCCGGCCCCATTAGCGGGGCCGCATCCATCTCAGTTAATAAAAAACGAGGAAAACACGCAGCTGTTGCGCCGACTGCCTCAGTCCTACTCGGAGCTCAGGGCGCCGCCAGGCATGGCGGGTGCCGTTCCTGGACGCGGGGCACGAGGGCCGGCGCGCAGCCGTCCGGAGCGTTCCCTCGCGCCCTGCCGCTGTCACCACAGAGCCAGACTCGGCACCGCCCTCTGCTCCCTGGGAGGAGCCGCAGCCGCCACGAGGCTTCCCCTCGGCCTGCTCCGATCTGGGCCGAACAAACCCGGGGATCTGTGACGATCCTTCCTCTTCCTGACCTTTCACAGCCCTCCTCTGGGCCCTTACTCGTGGTTTTGTTTTACACAGCGGTGCCCAAAACCACATACAGCGATCGAGGTGAGGATGCACCAGCGCAGTGGAGTGGGACAACAGCACTGAAAGCATTCGCATTATTCCTGTCATTCCTTTCACTTGTTTCATCACAGCCTCTCCAGCACTTCTGTACATCTCAAAGAAGAAATTTACTAATGGAAACACAAACTCACAAAAATAAAGAAAAAAAATCGTTCTGAACAGATTATGTGGAGTTACAACCTGCAATTGCAGAGGCTGAAGTCTGTGCAATATCAGCGACAGTTGCTCTCCTGCCTTCTATTCCTGTTCTTCACCTACAGCTCAGTAACAGTTTTTCAGTGAAGGCTTTGAAAACATGAACACTGCTGGATATTTCAAGTGTGTAAATCAGTGCACGAACTGCTGTGAGTTCAAGCTGAAAAAAAAAAACATCTGGAACTTCAAATAACACATAATTGCAAATACGAGTGCTAGGATTGTGATGGATTACACTGATTGTTTATCTCCTAAGTAGAATGACTTCAGGTTTACTGACACAGAAGCTTTCCACAATCTCTAAGTCTTCCACTGACATTTATCCAGAAGTGCCAGAAGACAATCAGGAATAGAACCAAAACAGAAATGATAACCATTGCTGGCATCTCACACATACCAGCAGCTCACCCTCGCTCTGCAATAGTCAGCAAACATCTCCACATATCTTGGGAAATCAGCAATGCCCTTGAATATGGGTAATATTGACAGGCTGACTTCCAAGCCCAAAATTTCACTTTAGTTCAGATCAGAAATAAACTTTCTCTTTATGTAACACTCAAAGGAACACAGCTTGGTAGCAGTTCCACAGAAAACACCATCATACGGCCTATCCAGCAACTCTTGGTTTGCACCAATTAGAAACAAAAACGCCATGCCAGAAGCCCTATAGAAACAGTGGCACTCCATCAGTGGAACATGCCATCAGGTATTACTGAGCTCATAAACACTCCCACAGTTTCTGTGACAGAGTTTCAAGACAAAATTCCACACAGGGCAATACACCCCAACAGTTTCGCCAAGCATGGAAAGAGTTCTTTTATGTCCTGCTTACAAAGGTGCCAAATAGGTTCTGACTGGGTCTTGGCAATACCAGGCAAAGCACTCCCAGGCAGTCTAATAGTCATAGACAGAAAGAAGCACTGCACTCACCCATCTGGTGATGGGGATCTCTGCCACACAGCATTTCCCCAGGAAGCAGCAGAGGTCCATCGGATGCTCTCCTCTCTGTGGCTGGCCCTTATACGAGCCATGGGGGGCTATAACCTGGACCTCCCCCTTCATGTCACCTGGGAAGCACAGGTGCAAACCACCTGCCTCTGCTCCCTGGGCCAGTCACACTGCTTCACCAGCTGCTCGATCAGCCCTTCCAGCTATCACCTAATACTTCACCTACATTGCATGACATGATTTTTGATCAATTACATAGTTAAATTCAAACACACAGGCAGTTTTCTGTTATAAATTCACAATAGCATTGAAAATCTAGGATCCCTTTTCTATTGGCACAACACTATGAAGGCCAACCAAGAGGCACACCACTTCTGTTGAGTAAGCTATGAACTGCATTAACATCAGGAAAGATACTTTACAAGCATTTGGATAAAAATAACAGCTACAGAATAAAATTACCTTGACAAGTCAAATTCCAGTTCCAGCCTCAGTTGGAAATCTGTCCCATGTTCTCCTGTTTATTTCCAGCAAAAGGCCATCTCAAAGAACCTTCAAGCTATACAGTTAATTAGAGTTCAATCCACCTGGCAATCCATTGGTTCTCTGATACAACCATACAGGTTCTGGGACCAAGGGAGGCTCTTTCTGCAGGTCTCCAAACTTTCAGTGGCTCACACAGTACAATATGAAGACAAGACATTGAACTCAAGCCCTCTCAGGATACACAATTAACTAGGTACTGAAAGAAGCTCTAAAACATTTAGAAGAAGAAAAGCAGCAACGTGACCAACATCACTGCAGAGACACAAACAGGTGAATCACATAACTAATTAGAGTATCAGCAGTTCCCAAGGAAAAAAAAGTGGAGTAGTTGGATTAGGACTAAGCAGTGATTGTGCACAGACACTCTGAACAACCCTAGTAGATGGGAACAACGGCTGACTGTCCTGAGCAGGAATAAATGAAATCCAAAGAAATTATTTGGATCATTGACATTTCCCATCTAAAAAAAATCAAACCAGAAATCTAGTCTATTCACATCAATTGAGTCATGTTGTAAAGGAGAAAAAAGTCAAAATCAAACCAATAAGATATTTCTTACTGGCACGTGATCCATGTCCACTGCATGTACAGAATAGCTACTAAAAAGCCCTCAGGATGAAAACACAAACACACTGAGTACTAATGAGGAATTTTACAATCTGCCATTATTTAAATGTCAGTGTAGCATGCATGCCAATATGGGAAGAGGTAGAATGAAGGGTCAGCAACACCAGGAAACAATAATCTAATGGATAATAATTTTTATATGAAGCAAATATTATTTTAAAACATTTCCTCAAGTCAATGACTGTTTAACTCTGCCCAGAGTCAGACTGCAGATCAGATAATTCTTCTTTGCTGCAACAGTAAACCACCGGATGGTATTGCCAGATATTTGCTTATCATGACAACTGTGACACAAACACCAGCAAGAATTAGGACAATGCAGAGATTCCCTAGTCTTTCTAATAACCATCATTCATTCTGTAGTTTGAACTTGTGTAGAAACACTATTCCTCTATTTTATAAGGTGCTGGAGAGGCCTACAAATGGAATTTGCCTTATTTGTGCCACGTGCCAGAGCACTATTTGATCAGGAACAATGTCCTACATCAGCTCTATTGCCTCCTGTCTACACTGAGGTTGGTAATTAAGCCTAGCAGGCCTTTTTGTTCTGATGGATAGTAATATTAATAATCTTTTTTGTTTCTGTCTTCACCCCTGTGTTGGGACATAGTTTATTTTCTTCATAGTAGCTCGTTTGATGCTATGCTTTGGACAAGCAATGAAAATAGTTCTGGTAACACACCAGTGTTTAAGTTGTTGATATCTTCACCCAAATACCTTACTCTTTCAAAATATTCTCTTCCTGCTCTGTTGTGTTTGTCCCTTCGGCTTTTACCAACTTTTATTTATTTGCTGAGGAATCCTTTTCACAATGTGAATTACTTTCCCCTATCTAGGCATGCTATCAGTATGTACTCACAGAACTGAAAGCCTAACTAAGACTGAAAATTCTTCTTCCTCTTCTTCCCAAAACAAGATTTCAATGTGATTCTTTAGAAGAATCAGAAGATTTTTTTTCCATTTATAATTCCATTTTCTCTTTATACTCAGAAATATATTTTTAAGAAAAATATTGTTTCCACTGCAACTTATTTTCTACTGTTTTGAAATACTACTGATCTATAATGCAACAGAAAATGAAGCTTAAAATGAATAGCGTGTCTAAATGAAACACTGAAACACTTAATCTTCATTTTTTTTCATATCAGTGGGAATGCGTTTTTCCTTTACTTTTTGCACAGAGTGAAATGTCAGTGAAAGTGACTTTTTAAACCAGCTCTAATTGTAACTCACTACATGGCACTTGCATTTAAAGCGTCTTGAAATTTCTGAAAGCTCCTACGGGGAAGTTTTATACACTTTGTTTGGTGCAGTCATCAAAATTGCATGAAATCATTCATCAAAGAGGAGAAAGAAAACAACAACAACAACAAAAACCACCAAGGAAGTGAAAACAGATCCATGATGTTTAGTAACTTTAGTCAACTCGGCTGACTAATAAAGACACGAGCAGGGCATATGGAACTTCTTTCCCTCGGGTTCCTGTTTATTGATGGGACAAAATATAGGAGCCCTGCAGCAAAATTATCCTGACTTAAATGATCTCAATCTGTTCTCTATTGATTTTTCTTACATAGCAGTAAGTTTTGATTAACTTTAGTAATAGCAGTGACTGCTTCAGAATGTCTTGAATTGATCAGACATAAGGATTTCCTATTAAGCAGAAATTAAAGACATATTTCTTCCAGTATCACAATTAAGAAGTGCCTCCTTCTTTGCAAAGGTATAAATGGAAAAAACTCAATGCTCCACTACCCATTTTGTTGACTTGGAAGGTCATTAGGACATGTGTTCCAAATGGGTGATCTAAACACAGTGGTCATTTTGTCTGTGTCAACATATTCACAGCAGTGTCCTTCATAGGTTGCATGGCTCATCTTGTTACAGGTACCAGAAGTTACCACACTTGCAGGAAGTGGAAACTACAAAAAACACTATCAAGAACCCAACACAACAAACCAAAGAATCAAACTAGAAACATACAGGGAAGGCTTTGAGAATAAAAGGTACCACAGGTACCTAATGCTTCAGTGCTACATTATTGTGTCAAATAAGCATCTTCAAAAAGCATTCTGTCAGTCTGATATGCATCAAACTATCTAATTGGAAATATTTTACCTCCTTGGAATTGTAGATTTTTGCAGATGCTGCAAATCTGCACTTTTTCTGGAGAAAATAGGGAGTTTTAACATCTTAAGTTCAAAAGGATTATGTACTTTCCAGTACAGCAGAACTACATAAAGGTACAAGATTACATTGCTAATATAAAAACATGTGAAGTCACCAAATAAAAAAAAGATCAATTGCCTCAGTGAGCATACATCTAAATTTTAAGAACCCTCCTTATATGTAAAAATGTTTGTTTGACCTTTTTTTTTTCCTTGTATCTTGTATCAAATTAAGCATATTAACACAGGAAAAAAAAGTGCCATTTGACTGGTTGCATTAGCCAGAAATATTACTGTTTGGTCCACATTCCTGCATTTCCAAACTGATGGCTGCTTATTAGAGCCAGTAACGTTCTTTTTTTTATTTTTTATAATTATTTTTCAATATTTAATCAGAACTTTTAGCCATAATCATATATTTCTCACTAAAGCCAGATGACCCATGAGCAGAATCCAACCCTTAAAAGAAATGTCTATTAAAAATAGAACAAATAATAATTCTCTTACTTGGGCTTCATGGCTGCATTTGTTTCATTCTGGCCTTTAAAAATCCCCAGAAAAATGTAATATAGTCTTTGTGAAAGCAGTGCAAAGAGATACCAAACAGCTTGCAAAATCAAATTTCTTAATGCTGATAATTAAGAATCTGTTTGGTTAAGCATGGAAGAGATGAGAACACAATTTCTTCTTCCCTGTCTCCAAGAATCCTCCTAATAACTTCCACTGCTTCTCTCTAAAATCAGATATGAAGACCAGTGCACACAGAGAACAACTTCAGTACTAACATTGCCTTAGGTTCCAGTTAAAGGCCAGAGTGATAAGATCCCTCTTACATGAGTGATCATGGTTGTTTCCCATTTTAAACCTCTATGACTGAAGAAACAGAATTCATCCTGTCTTGCAACTTCTCAGAACAGTTAACAAAAAAAAACTAAACAATTAAAACAACAACAACAACAACACCACAATAACTTCTTCCTGTTTTTTCGTTCTGTAGGTGCTTGCTGCTCTTACCTATATTTATTCTCATATTTTTTCTCTATGATGGATAGCAAAAGCGGAAGCAAAAGGTACTCCTGGGGCAGGACACAACACTTCAAAAAATAAATAAAATAAAATAAAATAAAAATTATGCACAACACCCATTTAGATGTGTATGATTATATAGAAGTTCATTTGTACCACAGGAGATCCTGTAGCTTACAGTTTTTGCATCGCAGAAGATACTTACTCTTGCTCTCCCCATATTTTATTATGGAAGGTGTATCATCACTATTAAACTTTAATTCCCCCAAAGCAGTGCATTAATAGATTCATAAACTTTAACACCTTCAGCTTTGTGCCACCTTCACTATATATTGAACACAATTGTTAAGGAGCAGTTCCATACTTTTCTGCACATCTTTTTAATAACGAGGAGATTTCAGAAATATTTCAAAAGCACAGTCATTTTGGTACCTATATTTTCCCTAATTTTAAATGTCTGTCATGTTGAAAATTGAGTTTTATGGCTTTAAACGTAAAAACAAAGAACGCAGACCCCCTTGCTCTCACAGTTCATTCTTCTCAAACTATTTTTCTAATCATACATGGAACTTCTAATGTACTCGTTATTTGCTGCTTTCCCCCGAAGCCTGCTTTCAAGTTCACAAATAATTATTTGTTTTTATGATTTTTCATGATTTAAAAGTCATCTTAATGATGGGAGACATTTGCCATTAAGGACCATTCCACTATTGCGAATGCTGTAAATACTTCTAAGAGGCAGGTACTTGTTATAAGAATCCCCTACACTTCTTGTTCATGCTAAGGCATTGGGAAGAGGAAATAAGATGTCTTATCAAGAAGCTAATTAACATGATGGCACATAATTAAGGAAGGAGACTTTAAAAAAATAGGAAAAGGAAATTAATTTACTGGAGCTTGTTGAAAGAAAAGAGATGAAGACAGAAGAGTAAGATAGAAAGGGGAATAAGGAGCCTGCTTCCACTAGAAAATCAATTCAAGAGCTAATATTGCAGAAGAACTAAATGCAGGCTTCATCTGTGACATGGACTCCCAATATATGCAATATTTAGGTACTTCACAGTGGGAACACTGATTGGCCCTGAAGGCTTTTTCATGTTACATCATCATAGGCAGGGAATTGCCTGCTCTTGTGTAGATGTGAATCAAATATCATTATCAACAGGGTAGAACAACACAAAAGGACTTTTTTTTTTTTCACATGCTGGACAAAGTGGTTTAGAATCACTTAGAATCTGGTGGGATTTTGGTATCTTTAAGCAAATCACTCAACAATCTTAACATTAAAGCATATCACCATAGGCAAAACCTGGAGAACTGGATCCAGGTCTTCCTCTCTTTGCAGATCAGTCTAGATGTGGCAATGCAGAGAGTTGACTCAGTCATCCTGCTGTGCAGATAAACATGATCATAAACAAAAGGCCAAACCAACCAACCAACCAAACTTCTTGAATGCAAAAGCAAAACCCATTGATACAAAGGTTTAACCAAATGCACATGGTACCTTAGCAGCAATTACCATGCATTCAGATGTATGAAAAGCAAGCAAGTTCTTGTTTTTACAGAATTGAGTGAGCAGCTTTAAAGTTCAAGGCTGTAACACATGCAATAGCACATACTACACATGCCACTCCTACTACTTACTTAGAAAATAGAACAAAGGGGAATGAATAAGACAACTGTTTAGAATTGTGTTTTGCATTACAGATGAGCTGCCATGAAAGCAAGCAGCAGCATTTATAACAGGGGGAATAGATTCTCCCAAAAGAAAAATCAGCGTTAGAAATCATGTCAGAATTACTACTGGTCTTTCCTTCTACAGAAGCAAGCAGGGGGAAATCAGAGATTATCAGGAGAGCTTCCAAACTTGCTTTTATCATTTGCTATAGACACAGACTACAAGTAACAGACTGTTTATAAGTAAAGCATTAATTCGGTGTATGATGTATGAAATTTGGCTCCTGCTGCCTAGAATTGGTTCAATACTCAACAACAGCTGGCTGACACTGAGAGAAAAAAACATATCTGAGATAGCAGCAGAGAGGGGTTGAATTAATTTTCAAAATCTCTGCATTTTATTTAGCTTCTGCTGCCATCTACAGAAGCCATCGCTGATCTGCACCAAGGGCAGGTACAGCAGGGAGAGCAAGATAAACCTTCAGCCCAGTGACAAGCTGAGCTAGAAAGAACAGGGGTACTTCAGCTAACAGTCACTGAAGGACCTGAGGAGCTCACTTTGTAGATAGCATCTCTCTCTCAGTTAGGGCCCAAAAATTCATTCACAGCTACCTCTCTGCTGTGTAAATGAGTTCACTCATCTGCATAGCACACAGATAAAAGCACAAACCTCATCAGTCTGTATAGATCAACACAGCAGTGGAGCTGCCTGTGAAGTGATGAAAGTTTTAATTTCTCTTGGTCACATTGGTACGTGGGTAACCAGTACCTTGATTCAGTTTCTAATTTCTCCACTTGGTCGTTTTGTGAACAGATGAGCACTACACAGGATTTATTTTGAATCTTGTCCTCAACGGCCTTTTGTCACCTAAATGACAAATCACAGAAATATTTTCCATTTACATTTGTAATGACACCCTTTGTGAAATATTTTCTCATCAGATTGTGATATAACCAAGATGTGAGTAGCATTCCCCTTATTTTTACATCGTATCAGCCTTGAGGACATAAAACCTCTGGCTGAAATGGAACACAGTGAGCACTGGAAGATGGGAAATCCTTGGGATTTCTGCACCAAATAACACCGTCCTCAGCACAGCCCAAGGCAGCTGCCTTCCAGATACCATTGGAAGATAAAGCAGAGAACAAAACTCCTTCCTGCCAGCCCACAGGTTGTGCAAAGCCTACAGCCGTACCTCACTGTGGGAAGCACTGGGAAACTTTCCAGGTGCTTGAAAGCATCTGGATCTACCCAGGTTGAGCCTGTACAGCTGTATAAACTATAGAGAAATATCCAATTAATCCCATCTCCTCCTCCTCACGTGAGATTTAATGCATATAATCATAAAGTGAAACAGTGCTGTGCTGTCTAGGTGAGTGGTTGCAGGGACCTGTAAAGAAATGCTGGCACCCAATTACCTGCCCCTCCCTTGACTACACCCCACAAACCGTGCACGTGTGTCTTCAGCATGGGCTCAGGCAGGCAGGGAAGCAGTGTCTGCAATAGTCCCCAGTTCACCATGTCTGGGGCAGGCACGGCTCTCCATTCAGAAAGGGAAAATTCTGTGCTGCACACCTGGGTGTGAATATGGGAAAAGGCAACAGGCACGAGCAAAATGCCACTAAAACTCATCTGCTTCATCCTCTGCATTCTGATTGCACCTGATCTCACAGGTAAACCTCTGAAAAAGCTTCAGTTAACAGAAGCCAAATTACCAAGGGGTTGTGAGGAACTAACAGTCTTTCGTCCTTCTGTTAAACCTGTCTGTGCAAAGCAACGCAGCATGCAGTCAGGTGATCCTGAATGTTAATTACTAGAAGAAGTAAAAGAAAAAGACAGTCCATATATTTTGCATTCTACAAGGCGATTCTGTAATGTAAGGGCAAGTTTCACTCTGAAGGAAATTGACATGTTAATACTGTACTTGCCTCTGCTTTTTGCTGTTCCGTGAGAAGCTGTACTTGCAAGTCCTCTTTAACTGCTATTATCTACTGTATCTATATATAACACAATGCCTGTAGTGTGAACGCAGGGTCAGGGAGTTAGAAAGTTTTAATTACTGGCTCAATTATGTTCACTGAGAATCTCCTTTGCCCTGGAAGATGGTTGTGCATTTTTCAGTTTCCTTCTCCAAGTAGATGCTTGTCTCCAAGCACATCACCTAGATATGCCTGGTCTCCTGATTACACTTCAGTGCTCTTGCAATGGTCAGTCCTCCAGAAAGGAAGCACAGCTGATGCAGGTGTGCTCAGATTTTGCTCAGTGCTGTCTTTGAAAACTTCTTTCTTTGCTCCTGAATTCAAGTTCTCTGCCAGAAGAAGTAATTTTACAGCTTGCTCGGCCAGCAGAACACTTTGGATCATTAGTTATAACTCTTAGTTTCTTAACATGGAAAAACACTACCTCAGTTCCACGTGGTGTGTTCTCTGCAGTTTTATTCTGTGGAATAAGGAGGATTGTGACAAACATATATATTTTTAAAAGCTGAGCAACTATTCTTCAAAAAATCCATTTTAATTTTTACTGCTCTTTTTTGCGTCTGTAGTGTCAGCCAGCCATGCCCAGGCTGGTACCCATGTGCACATTGTGAGAGGCAGTGAGGGGGAAAGGTAGAATAACTTCACACTGTGTCTCCTGTTCCATTGGCCTCAGAGTAAAACATGAAGACTCAAGTGTCCTAATGTATTTTTTGAGCAAAGAACTCTCTCATTAAAAAAAAAAAAAAAAAGAAAGAAAAAAAGATAAAAAGAAAGAAGAGTGTCAAAATCTACTGCAGAGCAAAGGAAATTTGTCAGCATTATTTAAGGCATTTTAAAATGAAAATCAAGAAAGATAAATGGATAAATGTACTGGACTCCAGAGTGAAACTGCTTTCTTTTAACCATAGATTCCCTAAGTTGAGCATAAAAGGAGAAAAATGTTAAAAATGAAGAAAATGGAGAAAATCATCGCCACTGTAAATGGAAATCAGTTCTTCATACAACAAACAGAATATACTACTGATAGGGTAGTAGGCAAAAATGATATTTACAGAGCAATATGGAAATGTCTTCCATGGCATGACTGGGGATGGGTGTCCAAAAGTACCCTGGCTTGAAAGACTGTAGCCTGCCTTTTCCTATAAAGCTTTTGTGTTTGCTATTGCTATTCGCAATTTTTTTATTGCTTTCCTCCCACTTTTAAACATATTTGTTTGCTGGCTTGACTGTGCCACTAGAAGAACAATCACAGATTTTGTCAACAGAGTAGAAAGACAGTGTAGTAAGCTAAGTGCAGTCAGGAAATCAAGATTGGTCTCGATTAGACAAAAAAGAGTTTGTTTAAGGGCCATCAAAAGGCAAATATCCCAATTCAGAACTATTCTCTCCTTTCAAAATTCTTTCTATACAATATAGTAAGAAGAAATTCCGTATCTCTGAACACAATAGATTATATATCCCCAGTGCAAACCACCTCTGTTCAGACCTGGAACATCATACTGTGTGCGTGAGTCATATGGAAAAACTGGTGCCTGGTCATGTAATTAAAGTCTGTTATGTAATTCGCACCTCGATGCTGCAACTACAGAAATTCACATGGGAACCAAGAGTACAAGGAATAGCAGTAGCAAACAGCCTAAGTGTCAAGAAGCACAGAGAATTGAACAAGAGACCAAATGAATCTCTGAGCTGCAAAGTGAAAGGCAATAAAGACATTAAAAAAAAAAAAAAATCTGTTTTTTTTGTTGTTGTTGTTGTAGATGAAAAGTGTCTTGACAATAATACAGAGCCCCAACCAGACAGAAGTGACAGAACTGCTGATATAGCAGACAGCAAGTCTTTCGCTATCTGAATGCCAAGGAAAAAATCATCTCATCCCAGAGATCTCTGTCATTCGGTTTAAAGAAAGGCCAAGCATTATGTCAAATTCAAATGACATCTTGCAAAGTATCACTTCATAAGCTACGAATATGGGGGATATTATAAGGGGAAAAAATGTGTTTTTGCAGTGCTTTAAAAGAATAATCACCACAAAAATGTTGCTGATGGACTTGTCAACTTGGTTTTGATCTTGGGTAGAACAACTGACATTAACTGGTTAGCTTTATAATCACAGCTTTAAAAAGCACCTGTTTTTGGAAGTTATATTAAATTTTAAAAATAAGAATTAAAAGAAAAAATAAAAAGAGAAAGATTTATAAGGGAAACAATTTTCTTGGGACTGGAAAACAGCAGAGCAGAGCTATGACCATTCTTATCATGTTGTGAAGGGTGTACTCACGGGGAAGCCTTCCTCTTGTGCTCCTGTCCAAATTCTGCTAAGGATTTTACATTAAGATGAAAAGGATAAGTGAAAGGATAAGATCTATAAACTGTGTTGTAGGCATCATCCCAAACTCAGGCTTTACTGATCTTTAGGAGAAACATTTTAACTCCATTAGTCCTTTAAATAAGTTTATCCAAGAAATTAATGAGGGAATTTGATTACAGCCTACAAGTACTTACATTATTAGAATCCCAAAACATGAAAAAATCTGTTCCAAAGCCAGAATTGTCAAATGACCAGTCCAGCCAAGCTTGGAAATAAATTGTACATTTCTAACCACGATGGGAATTGTTCATTGGAACAGACTGTGGAGCATAACAGAGTATCAGTTATTTGGCTTCATTAAAATAAATTGGATAGCTTTCTAAAAGCTTTGCCTTTTCTCACTACTTTATATATTTAAAACCTCTGAAATAACAAAAAGACACGCTTTGCCTTTCTGTGAGCAGAGGCAGCTAAGTGTTCTGTCTGCTCTTTAGTTGTCATTCTTCTTTGTAAAATACCTACAAACACTTCAGTGACAGTGTCAAAATGCAGAGTTTTGCTGATGCAAAGCACAGTTTTACACAATTCTTTTACTTTTTTTTTCTAGCACGTTCATATACATTTCTTTTCTTTGTTTCATTTTTGCTAGGACTTTTAGGTGAAGATGCGCCGCTGCCAGCGCCTCAGAACATCTCTATTCTTTCTACCAACATGAAACATTTCTTGATGTGGAGCCCTGTGACCTTCCAGGGAGAAACTGTGAGATACTCTGTTGAGTTTCAGGGGTAACTTCTGGTTTCTGTTTTTAGTTATGTTTTTTTCCTTCTTTGCTCTTTGAACACCAATTACAATCCCACACCGCTTGGATTTCTTGAATACTGTTCATCTCACAAGTGTAGGAGAAGTTTGATGCTCCAGTACTGTTAATAGTGAGTAGGAAGAACACTCAGGTTTGGTCTGAGATTTCTTACAGACCAGGCCTTATCAACTGCTGGTTGTAAAGAGATAGCTGCATAATCCAAGGCATGCACTAACTTCATGTATGCAAACTGCCTCTGTCTAAAGAATTAGGAAGATTAGCAAAAGTTTATTTAGAAAAGGAAGGAGAAAAGGCTTGAATTTTTTTCAGTGTTATTCCTTTAAACATATTACATATATCTATTTTTCTTCAGAAAACATACGAGATTCTGATTGATCTCAAGCTGTGACTTATGTCATAGTTTGGCCTTTGAAATCTGATTCACTGGAGATAATCAAGTGACTGGGCAACATCTGTGGCATCAACTCTGGGATGCTATTCCCCATGATGCTTTTGGCTGATGAACAAGCTAACTCCAGGAGAATTTCTCTAGATAAAATCTAAAATACATTCGTACTGGTTTCATAAACTCCCAGTAATCCAACCCATTGTATCCTAGAACTGGTCTTGGAAAGAACTAGCAAGCAGCCTTAGCCCATAGGGGATGTGACAAGGGTACCTCCTGTCAGAATGCTGCCTGTTTGCTTTCTTTTCCCCAGGGAATATGAACGAGAGTACGCTAACGAGAGCTGGATCCCCATCTGTGAGTGTTCCCTCATCACAGTCACTGTATGTAATATCACAGAGGATATCTCAGCCACCGTGGCCTATAACCTGCGAGTAAGGGCAGATAATGGTGCTCAAAGATCAGAGTGGGGCACCCTGAAAGGTTTCTTCATTCGAAATACAAGTAAGTCCTGACATTGACATTAAACTGCACCAGTTACATTCATTTCTTGATGTCTGATAATAAGAGTGGACTCTCGTGCATGTCTGTGTATTGTACATGTGAATTGAAGCCTGCACAGAGCGCATCCTACTTCTCAACTCTTCTCATGCTGAGTTGGGATGTTTCAACCTTAGACAGCCACACCGTGGTCTTGGATATCAGTCCCTCCATAGGCAGAGCAATATTTACCAGGGCTTGAATTTCAAGGGCTTCAAAGAAAGCTAAGAAGACTCTAGGCATTCCTCATAGCAGACTGACCAGTCCTACTGCTGATTTCAAGGAGTACTGATCAAGTGGGGTTGTTGTCAATGCTCTATCTAATCCATTTAGCCTAGTCATTTTTAGGGTCCAGAACCTGATCCTAGAGAAGCAGGTGCTCTAGAAAACACCCATGTCATCTGTCTGCTTTGAGCTGCTCTGGAAATCCAGCTCTCTTCAAGACACGATTGTTTCCAACCATGCTGTCAGATAAAGCCGTCTGTCTGAAGCCAGAGCTGACCTTAAATGTTCATGGATCACTGGAAGTTACTGCCTCATGAGTGAGCAGCCCTCACCCACAGAGAGCACTTAGTAAAAGCAGCCCCTCAGCAATACCACATGAAACACTGAGCGTGTCTGTTGGCATAGCATTGATTTCTAGGTGGTGCTTTGGGTGACAAATCTTTCCCTTTTCCAGGAGCTGTTAGCACAGAATTGAGTGCAGACCATGCTGTCGAGCAGAGACAGAGGAAGGATATTCCTTAGCTTAACTCTCTTTACAGACAAGAACAGCAACTTTCTCACTTTCCTTGTTATCCCTTTTCCCAAGCAGATCTCAGAACGGAGCAGTCTTTTTATCAGGGGATAAATTACGATTTTGACACAGCAGCTACAACTGGCATCAGATCTTTCCTAGTTATCATGAAATAAGATACTAATGTGCCAGAGATTGCATTTATCCTGAGATTCGAACTGTTCATGCACTGGTAGTTATACAGCTTCCTTCTTCAGTTCAATCAAAAACTCCCCATCGAACATATTTAAAAGCTAGCTAATATAATTGGAAAATCTGTTCTTTTGTCACGCCCTGACTGATAGAGTGGATTATCTCACAAGTGTTCGGGAAGGATGATAATCAGGCTTCTGAGGGTTTCTACAGCTTTGATCATAACGCAACAGACCCCAATCATTCAAGGACCTTACAGTCTTCCACAGCAAAATTATCAGGCCCACAGCAGATTATTAGACGTAAATTGTTTCAAACAATTCAGGATTTCAGACCCCATTGGTCTGCTCCTGACTGGAGCATCTTGCCTTTCTGTAAGCAGCTCTGCCTCATCAGCTCCTGCCAGCTATTTCATTGCTGAAGGATTCATGGCAGACCATGGATAACCTTGTAAACTCCAGAATTTTTCGTTCACCAAACTGCTGGAGCCAGCAGCATCTCCTAAGATTTGAACTGCGGCTTTGGGCAGTTCCCTTTCTGGTCACCAAAAGGCAGTTGGTATGCTGCACATCTGTTTATCAGCATCCAAGCTCCCTCCAGCTCCTCACCAGCTTTGTTCCACAACCTGTTTCTTTCATCTGGCATCTTTATTACCTCTGCTGCAGTCTGATATCAAGTCTAGAACCAGCACTGAGGAAGACATAGCACAACTAGGTACTTCCTTTCCTATGATTTTGATCCTCTTTCTTTGAGAACAGGCCACCTAGAGTCTACTTGGCTTTAGGCTTAGGCAACCTTGGCACCTAGTTGCCAGGTGGGATCTCAGGCAGTTACAGTCTGTGGGTCCTGTTAAGACTCATTTTCAGCTAGAGCCCATCTATGTGGTCAGAGCTATCTCTGAACTCAGGAAGGAAAGATCCCACACTGCTGTGACCAATCTGGCCATGTTCAGTTGGTGGTAGCTCTCCTCAGTACCCAGAGGTCACCTCACATAGCAAGTACACTTTGCATTTACATTTAAGTGTTTCCATTGAGAGAACCCACTTGCCCTTTCACATTCACAGTAAAGAATAAAGATAGCCTGTATCAAGATCTATTTGCAGGATCTCCAGAGTGACCAGCTGGAATTCCGTTCACACCTTTTTTAAGGGATAAGCCATCACAGAGGCTTCCCAGTACTGTGAAGTAGTTGACAGCTTGGTCCTGTGTCTTAGAGACCCCTGGGCAATCCTCTTGCTAAGCTGTGGAACTAACAGTGTAGTTGATTTTAGTTCTTCATTTATCACAGTTCTGATAGTTAGTTGGTATCCAGGCCCCCAGCGCAAGAGATAAATGTTAAACAATTGTGTTTGGTTAGTATTTGTGTCATACAATATTTATCTGTTAATATCCAATATTATTTTTAACCTCTGAATGGTGTCAGGTTTTTTTTTTCTTGAGGCGTCATCATGTTAAGCATACTGTCAGCTTTCAATTTAAAAGTACAAAGTAGTTTTCTAAGCCTCACTTTTGTGGCACATTCATCATAAACATATTTTGATTTCATATTTTCATATTGTTCAGTATCAACAGCAATTCACTTTGTGCAAGAGCAAATTCTATTAAGAACATCTCTTCTGTATGTTCTGTATGCTCTACTTCCTTTCTTGAAAGCAAGAGGGCTGAAACCAATTTCAGTACAACAGAGTGGTAAGGAATGGCATAGGTAAGTAGTACAAATATGATCTTTGTATTCCCTTGATTCCAAATTCATGAACGTACAGTGCATAGTTTCATCCATGCTTGACTGATTCTGACTGTTCCTCACAGCAGAGTCCCAGACCAAACCAAGCTTTGAATATGAAAGTAAGCATTAAGCACATCACCAACAGATTTACTTGCTACAAAAACATGTCACAGCAGGACATCAGCACACCCAAGTCCTTCTAAAAGCGTACAGATACTGGATCATAATGAAGATTCATGTGAACAGACTGAATTAATCCTAGGGCTTTATTTGCTTTCTCTTCCACCTTTGAATAACTGCCAAATTTCACATGAAGGAGCAGTGGTTTCACAGCTCCTGTTCTGTGCACTAGCACTAAGCTAATGCCCAAAAGCAGAACTGACCTGGTGTGGTGTCTCAACTTCTGGTTGCCCAGCTGGTTCTGCTGCTGATCACATGGGACCCTCAGGCCAGATGCTTCATCCACTGGAGAAAATTCAAAACCTTTCAAGTCCGTGCTAGTCAGCTATTGCCAAATTCCCATTCAGAATGCCAGTCACAGACCTCCTCCTGCTCAAAATCTGCTGCAAAATCTAGACAAGCTGGGAAGCAGGGCAGAGAGATTTCTCCTCCATCAAAGAAACCAGCTATTGTTCCAGATAATTGTTAGTGTGCTCATGATGGCAGCTGGAGGACAGCCATGGCAGGAGCCTCTTGTTTTCCTAGGCCCAGGCAGACTTTTTTGAAGATTTACTTCTGATGTGATAACAGTGCTCTCCCTCCTTTGGCAGCTCTTCTGACACCACCTCTGATGAAGGCCATAGCAGATGGGTATCATCTACTCGTGGAGCTAGAAGACATGGGACCTGCCTTTCAGTTCTGTGTTCTCTACTGGGAGAAGGGCCAGGAGAGCAGGGTGAGTTTACCCTTGGATTTTGGCATGAAGACAGAGCCCATGTGTCTTAGAGCAAAAGCATAAAAACACTTCCCAGGCACTGTTTTTCAAGTTCAAGCTGCTGCTGCAAGGCTGAAGCACCTGTCTGGTGTCAGTGTGTGCCATACTCCTCTGCGCTGCAGGCTGGTGCTTTACTGCTCCAGCTTAATGGAACAGTTGGCTTAATGGGCTTTTGAAATTGATTTCCTTCCTTTTTGGAAATCCAACTAAATGAGATGAACCTCGTCCTATAGGCTCGTGTCTGATTTCCTTTCACAAATGAAATGCTAACTGTTTAATATATAAGATCTTAATGACCTAAGCATTAATTCCAAACTTCATAATAGTTTTTACCAACTGAACTGTCACATACACCAGGTTTACTGGTCAGTAAACTAGAGAGAGATATTGGTTCATCTGCTGTTTGAAGTTGCAGAAGTGCGTTACGGTTGCACACCTCAAGTTTATTTGCTCCTTACTAGCCCAGTTCCTCTCTGTACTCCAGAGTCACAGCACAACTCTTTCACTCCTATCACACTAGAACAGGCAGGATATTGGCATCCATATTGGCATCCCCAGAATAACTCAGACCCCACATCAGAGAGAGTAGGTCATGGGCTAGTGCTGTGGCTGAACACCATCAATAAGCTCACGGCTCTTTCCTTGCACCCCCTCCTACCTTTCCTGGCATGTATGATCTGCACTTCCCTGTGCTCCTTTTTATTGTCTCTTCCTATTCACACAGTCCTCTCTGACACCACCTGCTCCTGTTATTCTTCTCTTTTCCCCCAGCAAAGTCTGGGCTAGCACATTAGAACTCCTGCTGTCATTTAGGTCCCTGCCCAACATTCTGGTGTTCTCTTTCCTGGGCCTACGGCAGATGCAACAGAAGATGGTGAAGGAGATCAGCTCCACCATTCATCTGGCCACCATGGAGGCAGCAACTGAATACTGCGTAAAAGCCCAGACATACGTTGAGACAATCAACAGGAGCAGCAGCTTCAGCCAACCACAGTGCGTGAGGGCACAAGGTAACAGCCAGCCTTCCTGCATCTTCCAGTCCTGTAGTCATGCCCACTAGGATATGGATATCCCAGCAGCACTTCTTTGGTTTGCAGCCAGCATCTCAAGATCAGGCTGGAGTAGGCTCTGAACAAGCTGACAAGCTGCAGATGTCCCTGTTCATTGCAGAGGAGTAGGACTAGATGACATTTAAGGTCTCTTTCAACTCAAACAACTGTACGATTCTGTGATCTAAGATTACCTGTCTTGTTTGTAAATGTGCCACCCATGTGTGCTCCAAGGAAAATCTGGAGTGCAGCCCCCTGCAGTGGCATAGATATCCCTCTGTAGAGTGTGGTGACAAAAAAATCTCACCACAGCAGACTGGAAGGGCAGCCAGAGGGCTGAGTCTGCACTGAGTAACTCATGTTCTCACAGGCTAAGAATTTTGTTGCTTCTCTTGTCTTCAGGCAGCAGATCCACGTGGCCCATCAGTGTCCTTATGTCCTTTGCTGGCTTTGCTGTGGCTGCCTTGACCCTGTCTTTCCTTGTCTGGAAAACAAGGAAAATCTTCCAGGATTTCTGCTGCCCCATTGCTGTCCTGCCAGACACACTGGTAACATTTTCACTTTGTTTTTAGTGCACTGGATATTCACTGAATTGTGGGGCAGGCAGAAAACACAGACAAATACATAGGAAGGCTTGCTTATTGTACTGTAATGGAAGAGCTGGTATTTAGGGAAAAGAGCAAGCAAACCTTTCAACATAGCTTCGTAAATTGGCAGCAAAGAGTTCATGTGAGCAGGCAGCTGTATTGTAGGATCAGGCAGCCCATATGGGGTGGCTGCATTGCTGCCACTGCCTAGAGCACTAGTGAACAGAGACGGTGCTCCTGCTGCTTGTGGGGAAGCAGCTTGGGAAGCACAGGCTGACCAGCTGCTCCTCAAACAAAACAGCTGTGTCATTGGCAACACAGCTCCATGTCCTCTGGCACCAGCAATGAGCTCTTAATTCCTTGGTGAGGAGCAACCAGTAATTAAAACACCCTCTTGTCTTCCTCATACAGAAGGAGTATATTTAAGTCTGTAGCTTAAATGCATTGTCTGTCTTAAGTGAGAATGTAAGGCAGCACCTTTTGTGGTCCTGGTCTGAGCCCCAGGTCTCTGTCTGGTTGCAGCAGGCAGGATGAGAGGAGACCTGTGGGGGAGAGGCCGAAGTAAGAGTGCAGGCTCATCAGTCTGAGAGAATGAATGAATTTGCCTTACAGAAAGTGCCAGAGCCCCCCAGCCAACTGATACTTTGCAGGAGGGAAGAAGCTGAGCAATGTGATCTGATGGTGCAGGTGATCCCCTCAGAAGAGGTTCTTTGCCTGTGGATTCAGGAAACACTTTAAGCATCCTACTAAAAAAAAATAAATAAAAACCAAAAAACTTCTGCAGACCAAACAGAATGTGCTTCAGTGTCTTCCGAGTGCCAACAAGTAACTCTGTTCTTTATGCCAAATCTGCTGCAAGGAAGTCTCTGTATGAACACATGGCTGGCTCTCATCTCTTCCTAACTTCATTCATCCACTGAAAAGCTGGAAAGGACCCCAGGTGACAACTGCCAGTTTCTGTACTTCTCCTTCATATCCATACCCATGAGCAGACATGGGTTAACTCGTGTTTCCTTCACAGTCACATTGATGGTCCCAAGGCAAAGCCCACACTTAAGCCACCAGCATTTCACCAGCACAATGTATGTAGAGCTCAGACGCTGAGTCCCAAACCACTTCACTGTCAGTAATTTTGCCTCAGATTTATTTTTTTTAAATAAAAGAAATGAATCTGCCAGTAAGAGTTCCTTGCATGGTTAACACAGCTGAAATGAACAGAGGTAAAATGCTGTCAGAGCTGCAGGCCCCGGACATGAAATAAAAATTTGTTCCATGTGACAGATAGCAATGCATGATGCCATAGAGGAAAAAGGTTGTTAAGGATGAGATGTTTAAGTGGGAGGTGACTGGAGCTGAAATAGCAGGGGAAAGAAAGGGGGAAAGAAACAGAAAGAAGAATAGAAAGATATGTAGATCATGCAGTCAGGGCCATCTGAGATGCATGCTAGGCAGCCCCATGGTTCAGCTACAGCTGAAGCAGGCTACTGACTGCATCGTGAACAGCAAACCTGATTCTGCGGCCAGGAAGGCTGGAGGGAAATCAACAGGAATGGTTATATAGAGGGGAAATATCAGGAAGAATGCGTGAAGCATCCCAGCATGACCACATCACAGCCCGTTTTAGACCTGATGACACCATTTTGTTCCAGATAGCTTATTATCATTTCTGCCTTCAGGAAGGAAATCTAAAAAGAGAAGTCCTGCTACAGAGAAATAAGATATAGTTCTTTTGCATATACTGCAGCGATGGCTGTTGCTGCAAGGATAAGTCATTTAACACCTGCTCAGCAGAGACTTATGCTGGGAGGGCACGGGAAAGCTTTGATCTGAAGAGCTGCTTTTAAAACTACCGGCGGAACTAATGGAACACAGCAGAGCTTTTCCTCACAGAAAGCGCCTGGACTTTCATTCTTGCAAAGTCAGCTGAGGCCGCCAGGTGGTAGCAAAGCACCGCGAGGGCAGCAGAACCGACGGAGCAGAGCTGTGCGCTCCCCCGCCGAGGCAGCCCCTTCCGACCCCCCCCCCCCCGCAGCCCGGCTGGCATCTCGCTCCGAGCCGCACCGTCGCTTGCTTCTTTCCTGTCTTACCAGCTTCTGTCTGGACAACGCAAGAATCTAGTCACTAGGAGTTCAGTAACCATTAGTTTGGCTCTGATGGGTTTGTAGCAGAATATAGGGTAAGAAAATCTGCGCAAGCCTGAGCACTGGCTAAGCGTGGATGCTCAGGTTATCACTAATTAATTGGGAAATGGTGAGGCACAAGCACACGTATAATAGCAGCTCCAGACAACTGCTGCAGCAAGTCCCTGCTGCTCGAGCTGAGCTGGGGGCTGCAGCAGGGAACAACAGCAGCTGGGTGATGTGGGGAGCTATGGGCAAGGAGGGAAGTCAGCACATAGCTGGTATGGGCTCTTTGTCAAATGTCTCCTCGAACAGCATTGCCCAGATCTGTCTTACAGTCAGGGACCTCGGTGGTTTGGTGAGCTCCCATGCTTCACATCTGTCCTGATTTTATTTCCATGGGTTTGGATAAGTTCAGTGTTTTAGTTTCTACAAGGGTGTTCACATAGAGGAAATTGTCCTGTTGCTTGTCCAGCCCACGGCTATTATTTGGAAAGCCTTAATATTCCCTCCTATCTCTTCCCTCTCCAACACTGTTGCATTACAGCTCTGTCAGCCACTGCTCAGGGAAACAGAAAAAAAGCAGGAAAAGGCTTTATTAATTTGAACAGGAATGGCTTTGGAAAATTATTTAAATGCATATTTTCCAGCAGCGTATTAAGCATAGTGAATGTGTTTCTTTCTCATTGCAATAGCAGATTTTATGACCTTCTTCACTGCCAATAAAGTGGTTTAACAGTTGCACAATAATGCCCAGGCAATTTTAAGAGTCACATCTGGAAGAAAAAGAAAATCTGACAGCAGAGAGACAGGAGGGAATTGTTTACGTGTTGCTGCCATCTTAGCAAGACAGTGCTCCATTTACATCAGGATATTCCTGTTTGTGTCTGTGGAGACATGAAACCAAATCCGAGATGCTGAAAGAGCCTGGAAAGTTTCCAGCTTTGAAGAACACGCTGCATTTTGCTACGCCTGAAAATTAGGGAGTAGAACAATAGCAATTATTTGCCATCCCTGCATGTAGAAACACAGTGGCACCACATTAGGGAGCTGCAGTCAGTCACTCCTTCCGTTCATTTCCACGCACTGAAAGAGTTAACGGTGCCTTAGCAGTCATGGCAACGGCTGCCTTTGATAACTGATTTTGCTCCCACGACCATAATGCCACATTTCAAAGACAGGATCAGACAAGTAATCGCAGCAAAAAGCCACAATGAACTTTGTTCATTTCCATTAGGGTGGTGGTAAGTGACTCCATTTCTTTCTAAATACAAATTTCTTTGTTACTTTCCTCATAAAGCGTCACACGGAAATAAAGTACGAACTTGCATCACCTTGTCACTGCATTTGATTCTTAAGCTGCCTATAACCTGTGGGATGCAATTCCTCAGCACAACCTTTCCCTGCAGACTCCCCAAGAGCAGAACAGAAGAAATGTCAGTAAGACCTTTTCTCAAAGAAAAACCACCCAGTCCGTGGAACACAGATCAGCATCAAGTGTTGATTACATGAACTTTTAAAAGGGTTACATGATATTACTCAATTGACAAGAAGGCAAGAAATTCAATTACCTGTTCCATAACACTAACACTGTTCCATAACTGGCTAGAATACAGTCTAATTTTTCCTTGCAGTATATTTCCTTAGAAGTACATTACTGCTGGCAATTTTTAAGGGCTGCTGACATTAATAAACAATCCAGCATTTCATTCTCCCCTTGAGATCTTTAATTTGATATACTGTCATTTTCTTTAAAAAAGAAAAAAAAAGAAACCAAGATCACTGCTTTTTCAGGACTATAAATTGATTTCAGTTTCTTGTGAAGGTGATATACTGCAAATGAAGTGCTACAAAGATCAAAAATATTAAAAGGTTGCACATAAAGATGTTTATTATTTAAAGACTTACGTAGAAAAGTCTATTGCTATCAGAACACAACTGCAGAAACAGAAAACAACCCAATTCAGACTTGTTATGGGTTTCTCAATAAACAGAACTATTAAAGTATTCAGAAATCTCTAAATTAAAGTATAAGTGGACTTAAAAGATGGCAAGGTTAAGTGAAATTGCCCAAATAAGTACTGCACATGTAGCTCTAATTTGGTTTCCTTCATTATATGGGCTGTAAGTCAGCTCTTGGCTTAGAAGCGGCTATTTCTGAGAGTGCGTGCTCCTGATTCACTGACCTACACGTACAGCTGAGGACGTGCTCCCACAGCACAGGCCAGCAGGTAGGCATCCTGCTCATCCTCACAAATGTTAGCCCCTGAGCAAAGTCTGACAGGGAGCTAGAATAAAGTGGAGGAATTAAGAACCTGACAGCTTCCCTGGCGCACCTGCACTTCACAGTGGTAAAAGCCAACTGTGTGCCAACCAGAGAGGTGCTGGGCTCACTCTAGAGCCTGCTGTGCCTCCCCCTGCTGCACATCCAACTGGTTGGTGTTTCCTTAGCGTGGAGCCAGGAGGAGAGTGACAGCTCACAGCTCTGTGAGGAGGCTGTGGGCAGCAGGGCCATCCCCCAGCAAGGCACAGACCCCTCTGACCTGTGCACTAGAAGAGAGAAAGAGGCTGTGACTGGGGCCAGACGCATGGAATAATCAATGGCAATGAATGAGGGTAGAACACGAACTCAAATATAGTTTCCTGCAGGAGGGAGAATGGTAATAAGCCTCATCACAGCTCTCACACAGCAGTCTGACCGCAGGAAATATAGGTACACCACATCAGAACTGGCTTTGGTCACAGGCCTGTGACCTACTGAATTCCACACGTTCTTAGCCTCCTTTATAAGCAAGCTGAAGCATTTTCCCTTGGGACACAAGCAGCATTTTTTTTTTTTTTTTTCCTCCAAACATCTCTACAATATCCTTTAATTCACTAGAAATCAGAATCAAGAGAACTAAGAGAACTGCCCTGACTGACCAGTTTGGGATGAACTTGCACATCATTCACTAGGGGTTTGCCTCAGGTCTGTGACACTGCTACCACCAGCCACCTCTAATTGCATGGCATCCTATCTGGACAAAAACAGTCTCAACACCCATAGCAGAAATAAAGACAAAAAAAAAAAAAAAAAATCAGATGTTGTGTTGACTTCAAGCAATGGTACCACAGGAAAATTAGGCAGTTCATTAAAAACAAAAGGTAAATCTTAACAAGTAGATTGAGGCCCTTTTAAAGACACAGACACTTAAAGAAAATGTATTCTACCTGTCAGAAGAGAAAACCTTAAGAACAGAAGAAACTTGGTATGGTGAAATAGCAAGGTCAGGGAAGATGATAGAAGCAACAAGGCGTCCTTCAGAAACCTGAAGTTATGTCCAAGTGAGGAAAAAAAAAAAAAAAAAAAAAATCACAGTTTCATTCTGATTAAAAGTAAACACGTAGTAAATCAAGACAAAAAGAATTTGAGATACAACTTCTTAAAAACATCTAAACTAATAATAAATCCTTTTCCAATTACATTAGAAACAGGATGCTTGCCAAGTAGTCTACAGGGCCAACAGATGGTGGTGTTACCACGCAGCTCTCAGAGGAGTTAGAGCAACAGAATCATAGACTATCCCAAATTGGAAGGGACCCATAAGGATCATAGAGTCCAAATCCTGGACCATCCAAAAATCAGATCATATGACTGAGATAGTTGTCTAGATACTTCTTTAACTCCAGCAAACACAGTGCCACGACTCCACGGGGAAACCATTCCATGCCCAGATCAACCACCCTCTCAGTAGAGGACCTTCCTACGATAAGAATTGAGAGAGGTCTCACAACAACATCAGCCAAGTCTGAGTATCCCGAAACAAATCCCATCAGGCTCCATGGACTTACACATGCCCAGGTGGAGCAGCAAATCCCACACAAGTTCGAACTGGCTGGAAGTTTCCCACAGTCACTGCCCTCTAACTCAGGGCACCTGGGGTCCCAGAGCCCATCGCTGGTGTTGAAGACAGAGCCAAAGAAGCCAAACATCTCTGCTTTGTCTATGCCTCTATTTGTAAGCTGACCATTCTCATCAACAGAAAACATTTTCCCTGGTCCTCCTGCTGAGAGCACATTTAATAGCAGACAAAGAAACTGGACCTTGTAGCAACTTAGTTTTTTGCTGTGAAGGATTTTATTAAGGTTTCTATGAGGAATCTGTATGCCTGAAAACACAAGATTACCTTTCACAAGTGGGCGTGCTTGGATTGTTTGTTCATTAGTAAGAAAAT